GGACAGTGCCACGTGCAGCCCGGGTCGTGGGGTTCCGGTTGGGGGAGGGAGGAAAGGGGGGATGGTACATGAGGTAGGGGTGGGGGTGGGAGTGGAGATCGAAGTGAAATTGGACGGGTTGCACCGTAGATTTTCTGATGGGTATTGGCTATATATAAAGTGAGTCTCGCTATGAAAACACACTTACATTCACACACAATCACACTCACACACACACACACACACACACACACAGCATAAGAACAAATAAGTAAATAAGTGAGTGTAGCGTCGTGTGTACATATGTATTTATATATGTACAAGAGCATGTGTGTAGGGTGCGTATGCGTGATTCTAAGTGTATGCGTGTGGCAGTGTGTGTGTGTGTGTGTGTGTGTGTGTGTGTGTGTGTGTGTGTGTGTGTGTGTGTGTGTGTGTGTGTGTGTGTGTGTGTGCGTGTGCGGTGCGTGTGCGTACGTGTGCCGTATTCAATCATTGAGTCCCTTCCGAACAAAAGGTCAAGGATGCTACAAATGGTCGATAAATTCTGAAAAAAAAAAAAAAACGAAGAGGGCGAAACGAAACACAACCTAAGTATGTTCTTTGTCCCTTGACTGGTCACCAACTCTCGTTTCAACAATCTATTACTTTATATTTCCATTTATTTCTGTCGTTTTTCTACCTTTCTCTGACCTTTGACCTCAATTCACACAACACCTTAAGGTCACAATCCAACAGTTCTAACCCATGATATCTCCCGGTGAAAATAACTACCTGGATCCGCCATATCTATCGGCTTAGCAACGTTGCAGGTGAAAATAACTGTCTGACTGGCCGCCAACTTTCTCCCCCCCCCCCCCACAGACTAAGAAACGTTTCTATTTTCATTGTGCCCAACTATCCATAATATAGCATGTGGCAACTCAAACCTAACCATCGCAAGAAGAAAGTGAAATATTCCATAAACATTCCATAATTAAGTTCCATAATCCCATAATAAAGTTCCAGTGACTCGTTACATATTCTTAAAGCTGATTTGTTCCCAGTGACACCTGCAGGGAGAACTAGGTAAGACTCTTCGTAAAAAAAAAAAAAAAAAAAAAAAAAAAAAAAAAAAAAAAAAAAAACTGAATTTGATACGTTTCTTTTTTTTTGAGGGGGAGGGGGAGGGTTACATGTATTTTGTCATTTTTTGATTTCTCCTTTTTTTTCGTTTTTGCCGTTCCTAAATATGAAAAAAAAATCGAAAATATCTCTATCGGTTAAGATCAATAACAAATGCCTTAACTAAACGCAAAAGAATAAAACCAATGTACAGCGATTGAGGACCCGAAGGCCTACCTAAATGCTACCAAAAACTCCCTTCCTTGTAAAGCCACAAGTCAGCTTCCTCGAGCCAGTATCCAAGAACCGGAAGCTCGCTGCTAAATGCTTCCGTGCTTCCGTTGCAAGTTGCAAGTTCGTCGTTGTCCGCCAAAATAACTGAGTGTTGCCATCTCAACTGTTGCGCGCTCATATTGCGGCTATTCTCCAGGCTAACACAATGTCCCTTTGATGAGCAGCATATCCACCAAAAAATCCTATATGAACATACGTCCTGATTCGTAGCCATCAATACCTTTCAGCGAAGTCGAAGAATGTCGAAATAACAGGTATGAAAAACCCACAACATTCCATCAAACCGAAGCGAATAATCTATCGCCCATTCCATCAGCTTATCGATTGAGAACGAAAATATGTACCTCCACCTCGACTCTTCCACAGTCTCGGAACCTTTCGCCAGCGTGAGACGCACGTGAACAACTCCAGCTCTGACATTCCATCAAAATACCACCGTTTTGAAGTCACAATAACCTCTGCTAAAAGTCTACTCATAAAATTCAAAGGGATATGGTAGCTAAATGGTTATCATCGTGATAGTCGTAAAGTATGAATCTCATTTCCTTCATAATCATTAAACTACGTTATACGAGACTCAAACGAAAATATCGGCGGCCCAGTTTGGAGGTTTCCACGGCCCACCAGCGGATCTTGCCCACAGGTTGGCGAACTGCTGCTCTCGCTCAATGGTCTCCTAATGTTGCGTCATAATCTCGCACAGTGTTAACCTTAGCACAAGCCAAATATTTCAGTTTATTGAAACCACGATATACTGCACGATGAGAATATAACTCTTAATTCTTATACTTACGATACTAACTTGTTCATTATACCGGCCCGCCTTAACACGTATGTAGTATGGAAAACTACTGTAGGAAGGTCACGGTAGTTTTATATCACTTCTCCGTGTGGCTAACGGGAATGGTTTAAACTTACTCATTTTTTTTCTCAACCAGCTTTGCCCATAATCAACATCTTTCAATAGAAACTTAGCAACATCAACTGCTCTTCCTCCCTACCATTAGCGCCTGGCAGTCAAGATCAATAACCTGAAAAATGAAGGCAAGAAATCCTGACTTGCGTAAACCTCTTACACGTGTACGTCGCGTGTTCCGTGAGGAGGCGGGCCGGAAACATGGATTTTTGGCTCAAACACAAAAAGCGAAAAAGAGAGTCTAGATCAAATGCAATATAAAACCAAGGCATGCAATGAAAATTTATGGAAGAAATTCCTCTCAAATCGATAGACAGACAATACAAGAAAAAGAATACCATAATCTTAAATTAAATAGGAATAATAAAAAAAACATACGTTAGACCACCATGAGTTGGTAAATGCAAGTCATTTTAGAATATGATATAGGAATGTAATATATACATAAAATAACATCATAAAATAATATTTGGTTAGCATATTTCATTTTAGAGAGAGAGGAAAGAGAGAGAGAGAGAGAGAGAGAGAGAGAGAGAGAGAGAGAGAGAGAGAGAGAGAGAGAGAGAGAGAGAGAGAGAAGGAAAGAAAAAAAAAGGAGAGAGAATGAGAGAGATGAGAGAGAGAGAGAGAGAATGAGAGAATGAGAGAATGAGAGAGAGAGAGAGAGAGAGAGAGAGAGAGAGAGAGAGAGAGACAGAGAGGAAGAGAGAGAGAGAGAGAGAGAGAGAGAGAGAGAGAGAGAGAGAGAGAAGGGAGAGAGAGAGAGAAGGGAGAGAGAGAGAGGGGAGAGAGAGAGAGGGGAGAGAGAGAGAGAGAGAGAGAGAGAGAGAGAGAGAGAGAGAGAGAGAGAGAGAGAGAGAGAGAGAGAGAGAGGGGGGGGGGGAAGAAGAAAGAGAGAAAGAGAGAGAGAGAGAGAGAGAGAGAGAGAGAGAGAGAGAGAGAGAGAGAGAGAGAGAGAGAGAGAGAGAGAGAGAGAGAGAGGGAGGGAGGGAGAGAGGGAGGGAGGGAGAGAGAGAGAGAGAGAGAGAGAGAGAGAGAGAGAGAGAGAGAGAGAGAGAGAGAGAGAGAGAGAGAGAGAGATACAGACAGAGAAACAAAGAGACACAAAGTTAAACCATCAAGTAAATAAAAAACATAACACTATCAACGGAAAACAGACACCTTGCCCAAACGAAACAGAGAACATGACAAAAAAGTATTGCAAACAAAGGATAAAAACACAACATCCGGAAGGGAGGGATGAAGAGAGACCGCGAGGGAGAAAGAGAATGAGAGAGGAAGAAAGAAGGACGGAGGGAGAGAGAGAGAGAGAGAGAGAGAGAGAGAGAGAGAGAGAGAGAGAGAGAGAGAGAGAGAGAGAGAGAGAGAGAGAGAGAGAGACAACATAAGCACATGACACACACTCAAACAGCTTGCCATGTCGGTTTCATTTTGTTTACATCGTCTCGTATATCATTAGTTGCGCCTTGACCTTTGAACTTTCGTACCGGTCTCTCATCTCGGTCAGTGTATTATAAATGATTTGTTTATTCATAGGCCTACAATGTAAGTCTATTATTCTGGAGAAACTATACTTCGGTCATTCTCGTCTAATTGCACAAAAATTCATCTAACTGTCATAGAGGAGATTTATTCCTAAGTATACATCAATCTATACTGTTAACTTGAATACGCAAAAAGAGACGCACATGCAGATGCACACACATACGCACACACACGCGCGAACATTAATCTATAATTGAACGAGAAAGAAAATCACGTAAAAGATATAAACGCGTTGCTTTACATGAAAACTTCTCTACTTGTTGTAAAACTCAAACAGACTTTCACAAGCACCATAATACTTATATAGTTACTTATCAATATCATTATCACCACCGTCATTTAACTTGTCAAAATGTCTTTACCAAACGTACCAGGAAAAGAGTCGGCCAAAGTTAGACCCGCGTAGGCCTATGACACAAAAAAAAACACACACGAGGGAGTCGTAAAACGTAAAACCTTAAAATAGATAAACACGTTTTACTCGACACAGAACAAGTACTTCTCCGGTATTTAGTTCAACATGCGCAGATAATAGTAATAAAGAGTAACGGCATGACAGGTATATAACAATTAAAATCATACTGGATGAATAATTGCTTAAGACAATGAAAATGTAACATAATTAAAGAACCTTTAAAATTATTCAGGTTATCTAATTTAATTGTTGTTAAATGACTTTTTTTATACTTCTATAAATCCATTTAGAAAAAAAATGTGGAAGCCGCGAGGACCCCAAGAAAACGTTGGTCTTTTTTTTTTACTGTCTGCTGTTTCTATTAATAATTGAGAAAGGGGGGCGCAAAGGAACCACGCTTACATCACTGCTCTCTCTCTCTCTCTCTCTCTCTCTCTCTCTCTCTCTCTCTCTCTCTCTCTCTCTCTCTCTCTCTCTCTCTCTCTCTCTCTCTCTCTCTCTCTCTCTCTCTCTCTCTCTCGTTCCTTAAATCGTCCTCTCTCTTGTTCTTTCTACTTTTCGGGATTTTTTTTCTCGCCTTTACATTTCTCTCTCATCCACCCATTCTTATACTTGCTCTTATCTTCCTTTCACTCTCTTTTTCTATTTCTCGTTCGCTCTCTCACGTAATCTTACGTACATCTCTCGCTCGACTTTCTTACTCTGTCTCTCCCCTGCCTCTCTCCTCCTTCCCCCCCCACGACATAC